AGGGCTAGAACTACAACAAGATGGACATATTTGACCGTGATTTAATTGTAATACACGTTTCAAAATGATGCCGAAGTAACAACATACTGATACCGGTTAGTAAAAACCATGAATTAATGCTTTGTCAAGTCTGCAGACAGACGGCAGGCGAAAAACCTTTTAAAATTCGTGTTTTTCTAGATGGAGATTGGCTAAGCTAACGCAGTATATGCCCCGACCGTCCACACTCACAACAACGGCCTATACAGACATAAATACAGCAGCGACTGTATTCACCATGACACAGGCAGTCTGTGGTGTGTACTTGTTTAACTTTTGTCGAGTTTCTGAACATATATAAGGAGCTGTGAGCTCTGAGTGCTCACAGCTAACGGCTGTGTTGTGTTTCTGGATTTCTCATTGAAGATGACGTCACGGCTCCGCCTACACTGCGTTACTATAGTAACTACCCCAGTTCCTAAACTGTAATGGAAGCGCAGCATGAAGTGAGTCGGCCCTGTTAAGGCCCAACGTGGCCAAGCCGTACCGAGCCGTACCGAGTGTGGCCGAGGCCGACCGTGTAGTGGAAATGCGCCATAATGCCCCCGCTGTTTTCCAGGCCCTGGTTAATGATGTCCTACGAGACTTCCTTAACCGATTCGTTTTTGTCTACATTGACGACATCTTGATTTTTTCCACGAGTCTGGAGGAACATCAGGACCACGTCAGTCAGGTGCTACAAAGGCTGCTTGAGAACAAGCTGTTCGTCAAGGCTGAGAAGTGCGAGTTTCACCAGGAGCGGGTCAGCTTCCTGGGATATATCATCAGGCAAGGCAAGTTGGAGGCTGATCCAGGAAAGATCCTAGCTGTCTCCGAGTGGCCAGTCCCCACTACTCGGAAAGAGCTGCAGAGGTTCCTGGGTTTTGCTAACTTCTATCGCCGGTTCATCAGGAACTATAGCAAGGTAGCAGCTCCACTCTCCAGTCTCACTTCTGTCAAGATTAAGTTTTCCTGGACTACAGATGCTAACAATGCATTTCTTCTTCTCAAATCCCTGTTCACTTCTGCCCCCATACTCATCCAGCCGGACTCAAGCAAGCAGTTTGTTGTGGAGGTAGATGCATCTGACATCGGGGTTGGCGCTGTTCTGTCTCAGACTGCAGGGCCAGACAATAAGCTTCACCCATGTGCTTTCTTCTCTCGCCGTCTTTCCCCAGCTGAGAGAAATTATGATGTGGGCAACAGAGAGCTGCTGGCGGTGAAGATGGCGTTGGAGGAGTGGCGACACTGGCTCGAGGGCAGCGAGCAGCCATTCCTTGTTTGGACTGACCACAAAAACCTGGAGTACATTCAGTCTGCTAAACGGCTAAACTCCCGACAGGCCAGGTGGGCCCTCTTCTTTGGTCGTTTCAACTTCTCTCTTACTTATCGTCCTGGTTCCAAGAATACAAAGCCCGACGCCCTGTCCAGGTCGTTTTCGTCTGAGGGACCAGACACCTCTTTTGACTCTATTCTTCCCCTGAGCTGTGTTGTGGGTGGCCTCACCTGGGAGATCAGTAACTCCATCCAGGAGGCGCTATTGGAGCAACCGGACCCTGGTTGTGGTCCGCCAAACCGTCAGTTTGTCCCCAACTCTGTCCGTTCTCAAGTCCTGCAGTGGGTCCACAGCTCCCTTTTCGCAAATCATCCTGGTGCCAACCGCACACTCTCTTCTCCGGAGACATTTCTGGTGGCCAACAGTTGACAAGGACACTAAGGAGTTTGTTTCAGCCTGCACTACATGTGCTAGGAGCAAGGCCTCTCATCAGAGACCTGCAGGATTGCTCCAGCCCCTTCCTATCCCAAGTCGACCTTGGTCTCATATTGCACTGGATTTTGTCACCGGCCTACCTCCCTCACAAGGAAACACAACTATTCTAACAGTTGTAGACCGTTTCTCCAAATGTGCCCATTTTGTAGCTCTGCCCAAGCTCCCCTCAGCCCTGGAGACCTCTCAACTTCTCACCCAGCATGTTTTCCGCCTGCATGGAATCCCGGCTGACATCGTCTCCGACCGTGGACCTCAGCTCATCTCTCTGGTTTGGAAGAATTTCTGTCATTCACTTGGTGCATCTGTCAGTCTAACTTCTGGTTATCATCCCCAGTCAAACGGTCAAACTGAAAGGGCCAATCAAGATCTGGAATCTACTCTCCGCTGTGTTGCCAATCGCAATCAATCTACCTGGAGCTCCCTTCTACCCTGGGTGGAGTATTCCTTTAATTCACTCACGTCATCTGCAACTGCTCTCTCTCCTTTTGAAGCCTCCTTAGGGTACCAACCGCCCCTGTTTCCTGAGGAGGAGAGTGAGTTGGCAGTTCCTTCTGTCCAGCATCACATTCAACGGTGCCGTAAGATTTGGAGGGACACTCGCTCAGAACTCCTCCGGACTTCTACCAGGAATCAACGGTCAGCTAACCGTCACAGACATGCCGCTCCCCCTTACACCCCTGGACAATCAGTTTGGTTGTCTTCCAAAAATATCTCACTCCTCACCGAGTCAAAAAAACTGTCCCCTCGGTTCCTTGGGCCTTTCCTCATTGAGCGCATTATTAACCCCTCTGCTGTCCGCTTGAGACTCCCCAGATCCATGAAGGTTCATCCAACCTTTCATGTTTCCCAGATCAAGCCAGTCCACACCAGTGACCTGTGCCCTCCAACCATTCCCCCTCCTCCCCCCCCGAGTCATCGATGATCATCCTGCCTACACCGTGCGTCGGCTTATGGATGTCAGACGCCGGGGCAGGGGCTTTCAGTACCTGGTTGATTGGGAGGGTTACAACCTGGAGGAACGTTGCTGGGTGCCTCGGTCACGCATCATGGACCCTGTCATGGTGAGGGAGTTCCACAGGGCACACCCTGACAAGCCTGGTGGTCGCCAGGAGGCTCCCGTTGAGGGGGGGAAACTGTGAGGATTTGCAGTATCTCCCTCCTTCTTCTCCTCTTTGTTTTGTGTTTGTTATGTTCTGGCTGTCTGTCTGTGTGTCTGTCTCCCTGGCTGGGTGTGGCTGACCCACTTCTGATTCCCGCCAACTCACCTCCTCAGCTGCTGCTCATCATCCTGATTACAATTACTCACCTTCACCTGCTTATATACCCGGTTCCTTCATCCAGTATTCACCAGTTCGTCGTTTCACCACGCTGGTAAATCGACTTGGTACATGTAGTTTGTAGTTAAACTAACTCTCAGTGTTCCAGCTATATCTAATCTTTGTGTTCTCCGTTATAATCCATCTGCCTACTCCTCTGCCTGCCACATCCAGCCACGTTCCTCTCGTCTGTGTACCTCCGTGCTTCCACGCACACCAGCTCCAACCGGTCAACTCTCGCCAGCTCTGGTTCCTCGGTTCACCTCGCCAGTGTTCCTCCGTGCTTCTCCGCACCTCCTCAGTTGACAAACCCTGGCCTTGGGTTAATAGGATATTAAATCCCTCGTTGGACTCAATTATAGGTTTTTGGTTAACCTTTTTTACCTTGAAAACTCTGTTTCCTCGTCCTGTGTTCAGCATTGTGAGTTCACTCCCGTAGCTCCCGGAGAGCGTAACAAAACCAACGGTGCTTTAGCTCGGTTTTACTCGTGGTGTGTCTCCCCCCTCCCCCATAGATCCTAACAGTCGTGCGCACACACACCCATTTAAATTCATGTGTGCTAACAAGTAAACACATAAAAGCTTTTACATATAACGTTGCAAAAAACGGCGTGTCTCATTAGCGTAGCGTAGCTTACAGATCGATGATATCTGATCATTCTTACAGACTACAATCACAAAAGGTTGTACATATAACGCTGCAAAAAACGGCACTTAGCTACAGAAGATTACGTTTGTTATTATAACTTACTTTATATGATTTTAGAGGATACAAAATACTAATAAATACGAGAATAAATACTTCTGTTATCTGCTATGGCGTGGCTTTACAGCCTTCACACAGATCGCCATTGCGGCAGTATGTCTGAGCATGTTATCAAATGCCTGATAATTAAAATAAAAGCAAAGACAGCGGAGCGTACAAAATAAAATAAAATGTTACAAAAACATATAAACACCTAACCGATTACTGTTTGGGTTTGAGGCGACATTGATACGGTGAAGCTACATGCTACATGCTACATGCTACAAGCTAGAATAGCTTTATCAGGAAAAACCCCGCTAAATAAAAACGTACAGCTTCCAAATTGGATGTGGCCTCACTGGCCTGGTCCCGGATGGTGGGTATTGATCCCGGGTTTAGCCTTAGTTTGGAGGCAAATCCTTCTTTGACTTGAGTGACGTTCATAAACATGTCCGGGGCAAAATGTTGTGAACACACAAGCAGAAATCTGCTGTAGTCTTCTGGCACATGTCCCTGGACAATAAACTCTAGCCACAGATTCCTGTCTTTTTCCAGAGATGGCAGTGCATGCAGTAACTTGCCCTTGTCCAGATTATTGCAGCCAACAACAGCACAACGTTTAACTCCCTTGGACGACATCATTGAACATAGATGTGACTGGGGGAGCCTGCCGACAGCCTATATGCGAATGAGAGGTTGGGCAATGGCCGTGGCCGTGGCCCAACCCCACATTCCCCTGATTGGTGGAGTTGGCCCAATAGCCGTAGCGCCACCGTCCTGACTTCAGGACGGTGGCAAATCTGGATCCGTTTTTATCAGATCCGGTGCAGCCCCTTTTTTAGAGATTTGGGTATGGAGGAAAATAGAGAGGGTTGTGTTTTCTGACACTTGGTGAGTTCCCTGGAACACCGGGGACACATATTCATGTATAAAAGACGTACAAAAGTGCATTTTGCATGATAGGTCCCCTTTAAATTAAGCAAATAAAATGCAAATATGTAAAACGTTTCACACTCGAATGAATTTTAACAACAGAAACCCACAATCACGACTCAACAACTCTAAAGATCTTTCATAAGGTGAACAGTCATAGATCAAAAGCTGCTCTTTAAATGAACTAATGATGTTTAAACATGTGTTGTTTCCACAGACAGAGAGCAGGGTCTACGGTCTCCATGTGGTCTCTGAAGAGTGACGGGTCTAAAGCGGAACCTCCATACTTCAGTAATGAACCTGGACCCTCAGACACAAAGTAAGAGTTTCTCCTGTAAACTGACCTGAAGAGGATCCAGTTTTGATGTAATCTAATATATGAAACTGTTCTTTAATGAAATCATGTGAGCAGTTTGTAAAGGAAAAATGCAGCAGAGTAAGCTAACATTATCTAAGGATATTTCAATATGCAATTATATTATCATTGTATCTGTGTATAAAATGGTTTTAAATAGCAACAATATTGATTTAAAAACGATATATATTGTCCAAAACATTATTTAACTACTTGGGCATATCTATGATATGTCTTTTTAAGATGTTTATTAATAATCGTAATAACCTGGTGAGCTGGTTGTGTTTAGCATTAGCAGATAAAACAGAGTTTTGTGAAATCACATGTAGAGTCAATACGAAGACCCAGATCCGTGCCTGGCAACACGAAGGAAGTGAAGATGTTAAATTCATATCACCTGCGTATTCGTGCAGCGTGACACATTTCATCTTGAGTGTAAAGTTTGTGACGCTCTGTTACAAAAACCTGTCAGTGTTGAGATTGTGCTCCTGTGGTCTCTGACGGTCTGAGGGGAATCAGAGAGGAGAACAGAGCTCGACAGCAGCTCATATTAAATCAGGGTTATTCATGTTCCTGTATAAACCAGAGACTGTCTGTGGTGCTAACAATATAGTGACTGCTGTACTTATGACTTCATGAAGTTACTCTGAGTGTTGATGGAGCAGCTAATGTTAGCCTAGCTTTAATTAAACCCATCTCTTCAGAAAAAAAAAGGAAAAAAAATGTTATGCTCGTTGTGTTGGACACAGACCTGACAAAGCATTAACTCAGGCTTTTAACACATCAGTATCATTCTGTTGTTATTTAGGCATCCTTTCCATATGTTTATTTATATTAATTCACAGCAGATTCTATGCAAGTTGGGTTCATAGTGTACCAGGTTAATACAGCTGTGTGTGTAGATACAGGGAACATGTGCTCCTCTGGGGGATGAATCCAGACAGGATGCTCTCTGGTTTTATGATCATGTGAATTGTAAGCTATACCTGATCACAAGGGTATATATTATATAGACCTTTTTTAAAATATCAAACTAGAATGTAGATATGGTGCAAAATGCGAGAGCGTGTAAAACCTGATGTGAGCACTTGCAGAAAATGAATCTACATTTATACTTGTATAAAATATCCACGTATCTGTGAACCACATTTGAAGTCACAGAAGAAAAAAAAAAGTTTTGTAGCTTGTAGAAAAAAAATGAACTTAGTGATGAAATGTTCACTTGCAGAATTTTTTTTTTTTTTTTAATATATTTTCCATTACAACTGCAACTTGGTTATTACAACCTCTCAAATCAGTCATTACAACTTCACGAATCTGCTCTGTGGCAGTATAAATCGACGAATCTGCGGCCTTGACTTTTGCTACACTTCTTGCGATAAATGTGTCGCAAAAGTAATTTTCACCTGTAGATGTGGGGGGAGGGAGGGGAGTTGGAGCGAAGGGGCGGAGCTATCACAACGACGAGGCTCGGGTCAGTCACACAGTCAAACCCATAGAGTGGCGAAGTCCCTCCCCTTCCGGTGGACCTCCATGGGACCTTATTTCGGAAAAATTATGTATTGAAGTCAATGGAGAGAGAAAGATTATCTTTCGATCCCGTTTGAATTGTGCCACCAATTACACATATGATGTTTGTCAATTTAAAAGATAATTTTGCAAGTAAAAAAAAAAAAAAAGTGTCTTAAAACTGTGAAGTAACACATTTGTTTGTGTGAAACGCTCAATGAACTACATCTCTGGTCTCACAGAACAACACACGTCACCAAGATGGCCGTCACTACTGTCTTGTCAACAAAACGATTGACTACCCTCACTATCACCACAATGAAACACGTCCTGAAGAAAGTCATGCAAAACTGCCTGCCTGCCTTCCTTTGATTCCCTCTGAACTGCCTGGTCTTTTTAATGTTTAATGTCAACCATTTGTGCAGATAGCATGAAGTAGAGAAGATCGCGAGCGTTAGCGTTAGCATTTCTCCCCCGGGCTTAAATTGTGTATTATAGAATGATCACACCGGTGTGACAGTACTCTTCAAAGGGTTCACGAAATATGACTACTACTCTTACTGTTTAACATTTTGGGTTACTTAATGTTACTTCATGTTAAGGCTAATACAAATGACAAGGCTGTAATGCTAACTAACGTGCTAGCTACTAGCTAGCTTGATCCAGACACTCCTGGTCCTTTCATCAGACGGGAAGCGAAAGAACGAGCAAGACCCATTGCTGGTATGAACAACCTGGTACTAAGCACACAGGCATCTTGTTAAAGTTATCTTATCTTAGCCAGCGCCATATAGATAGATTATATCTATATGGCGCTGATCTTAGCTATCTCTTAGTGGAGGAAAACAATTGTGACATCACTTACGCGACTCTGGGATTTGTAGTCTTTCTAGTTGCGTATTTTTCATAGTCTTATATTTCAACAGTTTTATGACAAACTGTGACTTTTTTGACATGGAAATGATTTTTTAAGATTGACAAACATCATATGTGTAATTCATGGCACAATTCAAACGGGATCGAAAGATAAGTTTTCTCTCTCCTTTGACTTCAATACATTATTTTTCCGAAATAAGGTCCCATGGGGCGGAAGTAGATGGGCGTGACTTCGCCACTCTATAGTCAGGTCAAACCAGATGACTGTGGGGCTAACGGTCCGTGTCGCTACCAGTCCCTGACATGGCGCGTCAATCAACGGTAAGTTTTGCACAAGACCACCGTTTTATATTGCGCAGTTTAGCAGCAAAATAACGTCAGTTAGTCAGCTAACGCTAGCTTTGTTGAGTTTATGCTAGCTAAACAAGTTGGCTAGTGGTTGTAGTCTATACAGCAGTAATTCATATATTATAGCCTACTGCTTTGGCACGAACGGTTGATAACCGTTTATGAAAATAAAACCAATTTAACTGTACTGAAATAATGACCAGTTTTATAATTGTCTTGGCTCCTGCTGTGTTTTTCAAGCCTTTGTAAATTATCCATGCTATTTTCTATTTAGAACGAAGACATTGAAACTGCGGTGAGAAATCTCCTCGGCTGCATCGGGAGAAATGTGCGGGGTGGTAACCCCGCCGATTTCGGGCAGTTCTCCTGGAACTATAGGCCAGTAGAGCCTCAAGCACGGTCAAGTGCTGCTAGTTCGGTTGGGGTCAGCCAGCCCGTTCATCAGAGAACAGTCCAGCAGGAGATGCTAAGGTAAGGAAATGTGAAACCCAATTCTGTGATTTTGGGTTTTGACCATGTCAATGTGAGTAATATTGACAAATTGAATAATCTATCTTTTATCAATATTCAGTGTCCCAAGACTAACAGCCCACCAACCCCTTTTTCTATCTCCTTCTAGATCCTTTCCAGGAATATATTCTGGAAGCAGGACACGGAATAAAAGAAAGGCACCTGAAGCTCTTAGACCACCATCATCCATAAAGATGTTAGAGCTTCAGTTCTGCCTGCATCCTGAAAACATCGATAGGACTCCTCGAGATGAGACCGTTCTGCTGCAGGCAGGTCTAGGAAGGATAAGGGAATGCTCTGGTTTTTGGACAAAATTAACATGGGATCACTCCCGTCACCGGACGTACTTCGTCTCACTGGAATAGTAACGGTCATAGTGAATATAAAATCGTCCCCATGTATCCGGCCAATGACGGGAGAGTTTTGAAAGAGACAAAACACTGTTCCATACATTTAAAAAACACTTAAACAATTAAACAATGTTTACCTGCCAACAAGCAGCAGTGTGCTGTCATTTCAAACATGTTACCCCACTGTTTAACACAGTTTTACCTGTGTTTTGAAGACTCTTTCCTGGGTCAATGTGTCCTCTTTCTCCCCCCCTGGGTGTGTGTGAGACAAGTCAAGTGAGTCAGCCTGCCAACCAGCAGCAGTGTGCTGTCATTTCAAACATGTTACCCCACTGTTTAACACAGTTTTACCTGTGTTTTGAAGACTCTTTCCTGGGTCAATGTGTCCTCTTTCTCCCCCCCTGGGTGTGTGTGAGACAAGTCAAGTGAGTCAGGCTGCCAACAAGCAGCAGTGTGCTGTCATTTCAAACATGTTACCCCACTGTTTAACACAGTTTTACCTGTGTTTTGAAGACTCTTTCCTGGGTCAATGTGTCCTCTTTCTCCCCCCCTGGGTGTGTGTGAGACAAGTCAAGTGAGTCAGGCTGCCAACAAGCAGCAGTGTGCTGTCATTTCAAACATGTTACCCCACTGTTTAACACAGTTTTACCTGTGTTTTGAAGACTCTTTCCTGGGTCATTCTGTGCTCCAATGTGTCCTCTTTCTCCCCCCCTGGGTGTGTGTGAGACAAGTCAAGTGAGTCAGGCTGCCAACAAGCAGCAGTGTGCTGTCATTTCAAACATGTTACCCCACTGTTTAACACAGTTTTACCTGTGTTTTGAAGACTCTTTCCTGGGTCAATGTGTCCTCTTTCTCCCCCCCTGGGTGTGTGTGAGACAAGTCAAGTGAGTCAGGCTGCCAACAAGCAGCAGTGTGCTGTCATTTCAAACATGTTACCCCACTGTTTAACACAGTTTTACCTGTGTTTTGAAGACTCTTTCCTGGGTCATTGTGTGCTCACCAGGGGCACGAGAATACCCTCCACAGAAGGGGTCGTGGTTCCGTGAAGAAGGCCGAATTTGGGTGCTCATAGGCAGCCTGCTGCAGAGTCATTTTCAGGCTCCTCTCCACAATTGTCCCCCTAAAATGATTTAAAATCATTATTTTTGCATTTAAATGCATTTATTCTATCATTTATATGGTTCCCCAACACAATGCACATAGTCTGGAGCTCACTGGGGTCCTGCATATAATTTAATCAGGCGTTTTTAACACTTTTTCCCATGAAAATGATTTTTAATCACTATCATGGGGCTATGAAAATAAAATTCCGGGTAATGCAGAGCACAAGTGCACCTTTTACTATTTAAATGTATTTGTATTATATATATTTGGGCTAGAAAGGTGACCTCTCTGGGTGATTTAGTCAGTTTATGGAGCTTAGCCCACAAATCCTGGATGATCCAGGCCGAATTTGGGTGCTCATAGGCGGCCTGCCAGGCGCCCCCACCCGTGGAAAGCAAAAAAAATTGAAGAAAACGCTTAATTATAACTTAAAATAATCAAAAATGAAGTTTTGAAAAATTGTCAAAAAAATGACAGAGTGCCAACGGGAGAAGGGGCCAGACTATTGGCGCTTCAGGCCGATTTTTCCCCTTCTCCGATGGTTGGTACAACGGAGAAGGGGAAAAAGTCCCTGGGCTTCATTTCCACTTCTCTGTTAAAAAGATTCATCCATACTTTTCAAACTACCGTCTGCACGAAATCGGAAACCCAGTTTTTGGGTGCACTCAGAAAAATAACGGCTGTTGCAAATCATGGAAGAATGTATCCGCTCACCAAGCACTTTGAGTGGGCCTAATTTTGTGGCGCAAGGACCCCCCAGCCTGGTTCTCTCAATACTTAAAGTTTGACATGGAGGAATGCGAGGGCACTTTGCAGGTGACTCTACCCGATTATGAGACACTATTTTGGGACGTATTTTTTACATTTCTCTGGTTCTCCAAATAGTTTAAGTTCGACATTTTGAGCCATGGAGGAATGCGAGGGCACTTTGCAGGTGACTCTACCCGATTTTGAGACACTATTTTGGGGCGTATTTTTTACATTTCTCTGGTTCTCCAAATAGTTTAAGTTCGACATTTTGAGCCATGGAGGAATGCGAGGGCACTTTCCAGGTGACTCTACCCGATTTTGAGGCACTATTTTGGGGTATAATTTTTACATTTTGACCCCTTTGCCCGGTTATCACCAAAGTTGAGTTGGATGATTTCGACCATGGAGGAATGTCAGGGGAGTCCGCGGGGGACTCCTGCGGGGTCATGAGGCACTATTTTGGGGTACAATTTTTACATTTTGACCCCTTTTCCCGGTTCTCACCAAAGTTGAGTTGGATGATTTCGACCATGGAGGAATGTCAGGGGAGTCCGCGGGGGACTCCTGCGGGGTCATGAGGCACTATTTTCGGACACTTTTTTCCCATTTTCCCCCCTTTTGCCTGGTTCTTTTTATTTTTATTTTTTTTCCTGTTTTGGCCCGTTTGACCCGGTTCCTTCTGCCGGGGGCACTGCCCGGTCCCGGGTGCCCCCCCCAGGGCTCGCGTACAGCCGTTTCACCCCCCACATTGACGGATTTTGACCCCTTTGCCCGGTTCTCACCAAAGTTGAGTGTGATGATTGCTGAGTCATGATGCACTATTTTGGGGTACATTTCCCCCATTATCAACACGGACTAGAGATGTCTCGGAGATGGCTCGGAGCCCACACCCTGGTTCTATGTAACCCTGGAGGAATGTCACATGAGTCGACAGGGGACTGCTGCTGGCTAATGAAGGACTATTTTGGGGTACATTTCCCCCATTATCAACACGGACTAGAGATGTCTCGGAGATGGCTTGGAGCCCACACCCTGGTTCTATGTAACCCTGGAGGAATGTCACATGAGTCGACAGGGGACTGCTGCTGGCTAATGAAGGACTATTTTGGGGTACATTTCCCCCATTATCAACACGGACTAGAGATGTCTCGGAGATGGCTCGGAGCCCACACCCTGGTTCTATGTAACCCTGGAGGAATGTCACATGAGTCGACAGGGGACTGCTGCTGGCTAATGAAGGACTATTTTGGGGTACATTTCCCCCATTATCAACACGGACTAGAGATGTCTCGGAGATGGCTCGGAGCCCACACCCTGGTTCTATGTAACCCTGGAGGAATGTCACATGAGTCGACAGGGGACTGCTGCTGGCTAATGAAGGACTATTTTGGGGTACTTTTTTTTCATTTTCACCCAAATTTCCCTGGATGAAATATTTTTTAGTTTTTTTAGTTTTTAGCCCAGTTTTGGCCACAGCGTTGCCTGGAGGATAGGACCGAGATATGACAGACTCTCTGGCCGCCTCACAAGTCACTATTGTCGGACACTTTCTTTGCTTTACCCCGGTTCTATCACTCTTTCCTCCTTTGACCATACAACCCGTTTCCTGCTGGGGTGGTGCCTGGTTCCGGGGTACCCCAAACCCTCTCATGGTCGGGGCACCATGTATTGATGCATCGGACCCAATGTTGCCATCACCAGCCCCGCGTTGGTGCGGAAGTGGGACCATCTGACCCGGTGGTAACCCAATACTTCCCTTCGTCCATGCACCATGAATTGATGCATCGGACCCAGTGTCGCAACCACCGCTCACGCTAACGCATATAAACGGAGAACTATAACATAATTTTGATCAAAATCATTATGTGTGTTTCAGGAAGGATGTCATCTGAATGCCCGGTGTGCAGACTCTTCTATCTGGCATTGAACAAACACCTTAAGCACAAGCATGCAGTGCGGAACTTGGAGGAGAGGGGAATCCTCCTGAAAATAGCCAGTGGAAGGATAAATGTTCGGACCAAACCCTGTCCCATCGCTGGGTGTTCGTACGCTGGGAAGAGACTGGACCGTCATGTAAAACATGACCACCCTGAGTTGTCCCGACATAAGGCACATCAGGTCATGGCAAGGCTGAAGCATAGTGTGGCACTGCAGTTGCTCCATGACCTCCGTGAGACTAACCCCATCATTGGAATGGCTACATCATTGGATATAGACAATGAGGAGGAATACCCCGGGCACCCTCCACCCTTCTCCCCACATACCGAGTGTGACAACGAGGACTGCAGGCAGGTGATGCTGGAAAATGTGGCATTGAGGGCTCAGAAGGATGCCCTCAATGATGAGGTGAAGACCCTGCGCTCCAGGCTGAAAAAGGAGCTAAAACCCAGGAAGCAGAGTGCTGCTGTTCTTGAGGAAGAGGACGAATGTATACGATTTAAGGGCCTGGCAATCCCAAATACCTCCGGCATAAACACAGTAGCCTCAGGCAGCAATACCCCTGTGAAGAGCCCGGTGAAGACTGTCATGCAGTCCCCAGTAACCTCCGGTAGCGAGACCCCTGTGAGGAGCCCGGTGAAGACTGTCATGCTTGCAGTAGCCTCCGGTGGGAAGAGACCGGTCAAGAACCCTGTGAAGAGCCCAATGAAGACTGTCATGCTTGCAGTAGCCTCCGGTGGAAAGAGACCGGTCAAGAACCCTGTGAAGAGCCCAGTGAAGACTGTCATATTACCAGTTTCCTCCGGTAGCGAGACCCCTGAGAAGAGCCCGGTGAAGACTGTCATGTTTGCAGTAGCCTCCAGTAGCGAGACCCCTGTGAAGACCCCGGTGAAGACTGTCATGTTTGCAGTAGCCTCCGGTAGCGAGACCCCTGTGAAGACCCCGGTGGAAACTGTCATGTTTGCAGTAGCCTCCGGTAGCGAGACCCCTGTGAAGACCCCGGTGGAAACTGTCATGTTTGCAGTAGCCTCCGGTAGCGAGACCCCTGTGAAGACCCCGGTGGAAACTGTCATGTTTGCAGTAGCCTCCGGTAGCGAGACCCCTGTGAAGACCCCGGTGGAAACTGTCATGTTTGCAGTAGCCTCCGGTAGCGAGACCCCTGTGAAGACCCCGGTGGAAACTGTCATGTTTGCAGTAGCCTCCGGTAGCGAGACCCCTGTATGCCGGAAGACCCGTGCCTCTAAGCTGGCTAATGACTTGCCCTCTCCCTCAAATTACTGGTCCACTGGGTGTGGACGGGGGAATACCATGCGTGAAATCACGTTGCCTAGAAGCATGGAGGCGTACCTTCAGACATACTTGGATCACTGTTTGGGTGTCGCTCCGACAGTAAAACAGAAAGACAATGTTGTGTCGAAGATCAGCCGGATAAAGAACTTCATAGTATACATGGCCCATGGTGTTAACCGCCTGTCAGACTGGCTGTTCCTAAGAAACATGAAGATGATCCGTGGCTGGAGCGAGTATATTGTAAAGCCGGGCCGGGCAGTCACAACATCAGAGTTCTTCCTGAAGAATGTGCACCAGTTCATGGGGTACATGTCTGAGTCAAAGCCCCGGGGGTGCAAGCTCACCCAGTCTGATATGACCCACATAATGAGAGAGGTGAAAGCCAACATGAAACACTTGAATAAGGCAGTCACTCTACATCAGTTTAAGGTGAAGAGGAACAAACTGGATCGTCTGCCGAGCCAGGCGGAGCTTCTCGCCGCCATGGCGGCCGCTGAGAAGCGCATCCCGGAGCTCCTCGACCTGATGGCCGGCACGCCGACCTCAACCACCCAGAAGCTTCTCTATGGCTATCTCACCCTCCATTGGAGCCTCCTGTATGGCCACCGTACGGGCGTGTACGCAAACATGAAAAACAGTGAGGTCTTAGAGGCAGCCATAAGGGGAACTGCTGAGGGCTACATCATCCATGTGCAGGATCACAAGACGGCCAAGACATATGGCGAAGCACAGCTGGCGCTTACAGTAGAGGAGTTTAGCTGGGTCATGCGGTGGATGGGGATTAAAGAGGCATTGCTGGGTCCTCAGAATGAATTCTTCCTTTTCACAAGGGGGAATCGGGCCTCCAAGAACCTGAACGCTCACTTGAAGAGGGCATGGGCTGATGCTGGGCTAGAAACAGCCGTCACCTTCACAATCCTGCGCACTGCCCTGGCTGACAATATCAAGCATCACCAAGATCCAGAAAGCCGGTCGATTCTCGCCAGGTTTATGTGTCACGACGTAACCACGGCGGACCGGTTCTACGCGAATGCGCCAGGTATAAAGGAGGCATTGAGAATCCGCTCCATGTTCAGGGCGTCATCAGATGCGGCAGCAGCTGCATCATCATCAGAAGGATGTCTACCGCTGTCAGATGGGGAGACCTCCGAAGAGGGCTGCTATAACAGTACAGCTCTATCATCTTCACCTGATGGGTCATTGGAGCGGCAGCAGCAGCGGAAGCGGAAGCGGGAGGGAAAGAGGCCAATGAAGTCGGGACCGGGGCTGGTTGACACTCCTGATGATGGGGCAGGGGCCGTGGACTCAACCTGTTTGCCCTGGTGCACCGTAAGAATTAGACGCCTAATTTGGTCCCCTGAATCCCGCTAAACATTGTGAATATGTATACCGTGTATATAATTATTATAATAATCCTGTGTATACATTTTGTAAATAGTACAATATCTCCAGGGCGCATAACTGCACTTTACAAGCCAGGAAAGGTGCCAGAATCCTGGGCATACATTTTGTTAATAGTGCAACACCTCCAGGGCGCATAACTGCACTTTAAAACGTAGGTTAAGAAATTTAGTAGTACTGTTATAGTAGCAGTAGTACGTGTAAATAGTTTATGTTTTAGCCTCTCTGTACTGTCAACTGTGTTTTTTGTTCAAATAAAATAAAAAAAAAAAAAAAAACAATAACCTTGATGGTTACCAGGGGCAGAAAAAAGTGCCACTTTCCATCAGCACCGGGGAGGCACTCTCCTTGGTGCTGAACCCTGTGATGAGCGCTCAAGTGTTGGCGGAGGAGGTGTAAGCCAGAGGAGGGTGAACAAAAGTTAAAGTGTTTTGAACCTCCAGCCCAGAAGGGGGGGTGATGCCGTGAAGAAAGCCGAATATGGATGCTGATGGGCGGACACAGAAGCACCATAAAACCACCCCCTTGTAAGGTCACCAGGGGCACGAGAATACCCTCCACAGAAGGGGGGGTGATGCCGTGAAGAAGGCCGAATATGGATGCTGATGGGCGGACACAGAAGCACCATAAAACCACCCCCTTGTAAGGTCACCAGGGGCACGAGGTTCTGGTGGGTGTGAATACCTGTGTTTAGTCCGTGGGGGAGTGCTTAACTGTGGGGGCCCGGGGACTCAGGGTGTGCAAGGTTATGGAGGTCCCACTGTTAGGGGCCCATGCTGGAGGTAATTAGTCCGTCCTTGGGGCTCTGTGAGCGGGCAAAAAGAGGTGATTTCCCCCTGGTCTCTGCTGGAGGTGCAGAGTCCCACTGTTAGGGGCCCATGCTGGAGGTAATTAGTCCGTCCTTCGGGGCTCTGTGAGCGGGCAATGAGAGGTGATTTTCCCGGTCTCCGCCCTGGAGGTGTGAAATAAACAGAGTCCCCCTGTTAGGGACTGGTGCTGGAGGTCTCTAGTCCGTCCTTCGGTGCTCTGTGAGCGGGCAAAAAGAGGTGATTTCCCCCTGGTCTCTGCTGGAGGTGCAGAGTCCCACTGTTAGGGGCCCATGCTGGAGGTAATTAGTCCGTCCTTGGGGCTCTGTGAGCGGGCAGAGAGAGGTGATTTCCCCCTGGTCTCTGCTGGAGCTGTGAAAGAAACAGAGTCCCACTGTTATGGGGACATGCTGGAGGTAATTAGTCCGTCCTTGGGGCTCTGTGAGGGGGCAGAGAGAGGTGATTTCCCCCTGGTCTCTGCTGGAGGTGCAGAGTCCCACTGTTAGGGGCCCATGCTGGAGGTAATTAGTCCGTCCTTGGGGCTCTGTGAGCGGGCAGAGAGAGGTGATTTTCCCGGTCTCCGCCCTGGAGGTGTGAAATAAACAGAGTCCCCCTGTTAGGGACTGGTGCTGGAGGTCTCTAGTCCGTCCTTCGGTGCTCTGTGAGCGGGCAAAAAGAGGTGATTTCCCCCTGGTCTCTGCTGGAGGTGCAGAGTCCCACTGTTAGGGGCCCATGCTGGAGGTAATTAGTCCGTCCTTGGGGCTCTGTGAGCGGGCAGAGAGAGGTGATTTCCCCCTGGTCTCTGCTGGAGCTGTGAAAGAAACAGAGTCCCACTGTTATGGGGACATGCTGGAGGTAATTAGTCCGTCCTTGGGGCTCTGTGAGGGGGCAGAGAGAGGTGATTTCCCCCTGGTCTCTCCTGGAGGTGTGAAATAAACAGAGTGCTACATTTTGTAAATAGTGCAATATCTCCAGGGCGCATAACTGCACTTTACAAGCCAGAAATAATGTTTAAATGGTCGGGGAAAGTATTTTTAAATGTCTGGAAGAGAGTTTTAGACAGTCATTTTGCACGAAATCATTTAACATAGACGCTCTCCTGAAAATGCACAGAATATGTGCTTTTTCAGGAGACCGTCAATGTTAAATGATTTCGTGCAAAATGACTGGCTAAAACTTCGGAATAAGTGTTTGAAAAGCGGGGAAAAGTTGTTTAAAATAGTCTGATACCTCCAGGGCGCATCACCAAAAATGTACAAGCCAGGGAAGATGCCTGAATCCCGGATACTTTAGGTCTGTCACTTAGGGTGACCGCACCACTCCGACGCTCCCGAGAGTGGACGTCCATTGTTTGTAAGGCACCTAAGAGGGAGAACAGTGAATCTTGCAGATGATGCTGATCATGCAGAGGTAGGTCTATGTCATTTTTTTCCATCATGAAACATTAATCAGCAAATTTCCCATTGAACAACTGTGCATATGCAGTTTTGGAGGAAAAACGTCCAGATTAAGATGTTAGATGCATTATTGGGCCACACGCCTCCCTATTAATTGCATATTCCTTACAGTTACACGGACACCACACTGTGCATTAATAGGACTAAGGAGCGACAAGTATGAAAGTATTTTTTCCTATACAATGCATGCCCCCTGCTGTAACCATAGACTGTAACTAGGTTACAGCAGGGGGCATGCATTGTATAGGTGCCCGCAGGGCTCTCGACTAACTTTTTTCACCATCCTCCCGGAACCGTCCCGAAATACAATCTAAGCCGTCCCGAAATTAATGTGGACCGTCCCGAATTTAAAATATTTGTTTTTCTACATTATCATTAGTTAAAATCATTCAAAGTGACCTTTAACATAAATAAAACATCATACAAATCATTAGATGATAATTCATCAACCTTTTTATTTTAGTAAATCAGTCAAACACATAAACAAAGGCCAAATATATTTAAAAAAAACACACAAGCGAGAAAGTTACTCTAATATTGAATCCAATCAAGTCCCATCCGATTAACAACAAAATCCAACACTCTGTCCTGAAGACAGAAGACAGAACCCAGAGTAACCACTAACCAGGATGACAGTCTGTAACACAGTCAGGAGACCTTTACAAACTGCCCCGCCTCCTCGCACACAGACGGGGGAGAGAGCTCTCTCGTCTGGATTGGAAAGATCGAAAATAAGATCGAAAATACATCATAGACGCATTTTGTAGTCTTATTGCATATTAGAAACGGAGTTGGCGAAACTAAAACTGCAATATAATGTTCATGTAGCAATAATACATATGACATATATGTTTTAAATGTCTCCAGTACCGATAAAAAGACCACTGTTGGTACCACTGTCTTTAATAATTCCGGCCCGGGGCCCGTTTAATACCGGGGCTCGGACGGTACCCATCCCTACATGGGGAGAGGCGCAGCATATTGCTAAGAACTAAATGCGATGGAGAGTTCTCATCTCAGCTGCAATGACATGTCTGGAAACCCCCTCTTGGGTGCCCCATGCATAGCGCGCCGTCAAAAGCTGCTTCATAAGTTAAGTTTCGTTTCTCCGCACCGCTCCGGGGTAAAAAAATGGTAGTTACATCACAGCTGTGCGGCTGGCTGACAGCTGTAGCCAGTGTTGTAGTCAAGTCACCAATTCACGAGTCCAAGTCACTCTCGAGTCACCACTCTTCGAGTCCGAGTCCAAGTCCGAGTCACCAAGGGAGAGTCGTAGTCGAGTCCGAGTCCAAGTCCGAGTCACCCAAGGAGTGTCCGAGTCGAGTCCGAGTCATCATTACCTGTGTTCGAGTCCAAGTCCGAGTCACCCAAGGAGTGTCCGCGTCGAGTCCGAGTCCGAGTCATCATTGCCTGTGTTCGAGTTCCGAGTCCAAGCCCGAGTCACCTAAGAAGAGTCCAAGTCAAGTCCGAGTCACAAGTCTTCATGTATTAATCTTCGTGGATATATGTGTTGAAATGTAGCTGCTCCTCTACATTGCTTTTATCCTGTCATGTTATACTAATCTGTCTATTGAACTGCTGTGAAGCCAGTTTGGCTACAATTCTTGTAATAGGTGCTATACAAATATAAAGCTTATTACTAATATTAATATTATTATTATTATTGTAAATTACCCATAATATGTCTAACTATATTTAAAATTAGTTACCTTTTAGAGAAGTGATTATATTTGTAATCCAATATTTTCCTATGGTAACGTTTTCGTCATTTTTTCCACAATGAGCATTTTGCGCTGCTCTTTTCCAATGTGGAAGCAGAATGTGTGAAAGCATACAGCACGATGCGGGGTGTGTCTCTAGACATCTTTAGACTGGAATAGCGGGGCCCAGTACGTGAACTCGCCTCGCAGGTGCACACGCCAGGATAGAGGACATCAGACTCCAGAGAAAACTTGCTCGAGTCCGAGTCATCGTGGGGAGGAACATTCACGAGTCCGAGTCCAAGTCATTGTAAGCGAGAATTCACGAGTCCGAGTCCGAGTCCAAGTCATTGTGGGCGAGAATTCACGAGTCCGAGTCGCGTCAATCAATGCGCGAGTCCGAGTTGAGTCACGAGTCCCGAAAATCGGCACTCGAGTCCGAGTCCAGGACTCGAGTACTCCATCTCTTGCTGTAGCTATACGTACTGTGTGTGTGTGTATTTCGCGGGTTGCTAAATGCTTTGTGTGTGTTTATGTTGACAAGGAGGTTTAATAACTGTGTGCTACACAAAACGTGCAGTCAGTTTCATTTTCATCGCCGTTCGTAGTAGAGTTAGCAGGGTATTTTAATTTTAACTTTCGTCCCAAATTCGTCCCAAAATTCATTTGTATCCTCCCCGACGACCGGACGTCCTTAAGCTCGAGCCCTGGGTGCCCGCCTTAACTATAGAGCGCTGCTGGAAACCCAGCTTTTAATTTAGTTTTGTTGTGAACCTGAATGGCATCTGCCCTGAAGAGTGCAAATTATAAACATTTGACGATAAGGCCACAGTGTGGTACATTGTAATTCACGAATACTGGAGATTATGTCACCCAAGAGACACCATCTTTTGAACTAAGAATGAAATTAAAAGATTTTAGCATGTTATCATGGCATACAACCAATGATCCCAGACTAGTCTAACATGGCTTTGCCATCTGTGCTTACAAATATAACAAGAAGACCAACAAACAAAAGGATATAGAATAGAATTGTGACCTTAAAGGTAGGGTAGGTAAGTTTGAGAAACTTGGAATGCTCTTAACATCCCGATAGCAATGAATATCTTAAGTGCTTAAAATCCATAAAAAAATGTCATCTGTGGAAGCCGTAGTACTGTAAAAAGCACGACCAATCATTTTAGCCGGCCCGGCTAAAATAACTGGATGGCCTACCTGCCTGTCAGCCTTCCATCGGTGCGGATGGAAGGAACACTTCTGGAAGGAAGTGGCAGATTTTTTCCAGCTGTGTATTTTCAAATTCTAGTGCACTCGAGCTGGTTTCTCCAAAATTACCTACCCCACCTTTAAAGTGGAAAATTAAAATGAATAGAGGGTTGGGGAATTGTGACACCCTTACTAGCAGGGATTGATTACTTTGATCTATTTTTATCACAACTCTCATCCTCAACATATATGAAGTTTGGTATCTTTCCACATTTGAATTAAAATCATGTCTTTCATCTACAGATAACCAGGGTGCTACTTCAAGAATACCCCAAATTAAGACGATTGCGTGGAGGTTGGCTTCTCCAAAAAGCAACAGGTGAGATTATTACATACATCAGATAATAAATAAAGAACAAAGGCTTTTCCATCCATGCCAGTTCATTTGCATTTTCTAACTTTTAAACAACAAAATTACCCTCAATGATTATACATATTCTGTTACTTTCAAAGGAGGCAGTGGTCAAAGAAAGATAACACCACTCCCACAGGGTTCCCAGGGGTACACAGCCAAAATGCTGAAGTCCTCCTCAAATAATGGGAAAAACATAATCCACATTGTACCACTTCAAGATACCATGGACACGACTGCCTTGCCATATGACGCACCGGAATTCGAGAATATGCCCAAAAATGACTGCATGACCTGTGGCAAATCAGTTCCTCTTCAGTTGCTGCCTTTGCACATCAGAACATGTCAGTGTGATGATATAGTAAGTGATTTGATTCAATACTGTTGAAATATATATCAACATTTTAGCGATACCTCGCATATAACTTGATGAAATGAAATATGAAATGTATAAAGGTTGTATTCCTTCATAGTATAGTTCTGGAGTTATTATATATTTGTAGATAAAATGACAATGATATTTTTCTGTTTCTTGTGGAGAAAGCTGATGCAGAAGAGGAGAAATGGCAAGATCCAGATGTCATTTGTATGGTAAGCAATTACTCATATGTATCTTAATTAGAAACAAAATTCCGTTTTCAATTTCAATGCCGATCTCACTGTAGAGACTATGAAAAGAAAAGGTCACAATCTATAAATGAACAGAGCACAAGCTGTTTTGGTGGGCATGACCATGAACAAAGAGTGTCTAATATATTTTCATCTTATGTACCTTGTATCATAAGCTATGTCGATAGAGTGATAACTTGAACCCCTGTTAACTTCCTAGGATTCCTGCCCAATATGCGGAGAGCGGTTTGCTGCTGAGGTGATGTCCCTCCATGCAAGTTCATGTGGAGAAAGGTATTGTCAACCTGTCACTGGATATAACTACTAGTTGACACTTAATATTTCCCAATTACAAGTGCTGCTCCAGCAGACCAACTCAACAACTAAGAACCAGCGACAGTAAGGGTCGACTGTCTCACTGACACACTCCGCTGAAGATTCAACATGTTTAGTGTAACTACTGCTAACGGTACAAGGTTAGAAAGAAAAAAAACAGGCTGACTGTTATTCATGAAGAGTAGGGGTGGGAATCTCTGGCCACCTCACCATTAGATATTATTAAAATTTAGAAGACTGATACTAATAAATACAAAAAATTCTAAATGAGTTTTCATTGATGGATTGCCCAACTGCGGATGAATCTGAGGAAAGCACTTCAGTACCAGAAGATTCCACACCTACTTTTACTGGAAGTAACAATGCCAGCCCACATCACATGGTTCTGGCTACTTGGCACCTGGCACATCTCAAACCATTCTACCAAGAACAGTACCTTCAATAGCTGACGGTGGGTTTTTACTTTCTCCAAACAACAGAATGTGAATACATATTCCCTGTGTAACACCCATGCATTAAAATCCAAATGTGACAAAAATATTTTGCAGCCTGGAAAAGGGTGGAAGTTCCAGAAAGGGCAGCGATGCTATACAAAAGGAATTTGCTTCAGCAAAAAGAAGATGAACCAATGCTGAAAATGTGTTTAGACATGAAAGAGGACATTGAGGATCAGGAAGCAAGAATTATCACCTTTTACAAGGTCCACAACGCAGATTGGGCCAGACCACTCCAATGCAGATTGGAAGGTTAATACATTTAACAAATACATTGCACCTGAATTATGACCTAGTAGCTTAATTTGTCAAGTCATCAAAGGATAGCCAAAATCTAACTTGGCAAGGCTATAAACTCAAATGTTTTTTTATAATTATGGCTTTTTCTTATAATTTCAGATACCTTGCTATCATTAAAATGTTCTAATTTTGTAGGTGATGCAGCTACTGGTGAGGGCGTGAAACGCCATTTCTTAAGCATGATGATGACCAAGTTGCACAAGGGATTCAAAGGAAATTTTGGCAAGTCATTTGGACAAAGTTTAAATTCAATTTAGTTTTATTTATATAGCACTATAAAAATATCAGTGATATTTACAAATATTGTCCTATGCTTTTGTTTATGTCAATGAAGGACATGGTACCAGCACTCTGCTTTTTGAGGGCCAGGTTGACCACCTCATCCCCTGCACCTCCCAAGTGCTTGTACAGAGTGACTTGTTCAAGATGGCTGGGAGGATGATTGGACACTCCTTTCTACATGGTGGTCCTCCATTGACAGGTATAAGCCCAGCAGTCCTGCATGTGCTGCTCGGTGGCTCCCCTGAGACAGCAACCCTAGTGTTGGAAGATGTGGCAGACATTGACATCCGGGAAACAATTCAGCTGGTAGGTTTGAAGTGGAAAATATAGAATGAATGCCACATTAAAACATCAAAGCATTTCACCATAGTGGTATAACTTTTTCAACTTTGTCCATTAAGCTTTCTCTAGCTGATTGCTCCAAGAAGGCAAATGGTGAGAGAGGAGACAATGAGCTGACGGAGCATCAGAGGGGAGCTGTCAATGATTTGGCATTATCTTGGGATCTTCCTGTATTGACAGAAACCAACCAAGCTTGGCTCCTACAAAGTCTCCTTCTGCATGCGGTAAGGTTAAATGACCACTACGTTTTACATAATTAAGAAAAGGGATTGCTTATTGTGGTTTTCTTTCCATAAACTGTTAGTTCAGCTGAATGTGCAATACTTTACTAGCCTAGCATGCATTGTAAGCTATCCTTGGAGCATATGTTAATGTGGATGTTTTAGGAAAAATCCTTTTATCTTAAACATACGTAGGTGCTCAGGCGAACATCGCAACAAATTAAACAGTTGAGGAAGGGACTGCAAGAGTCAATGTTGTGGCCACTGTTGGAAGCCAGACCAGATGTGGTAGACGTTGTCTTCCCACGTCAATCTAAGGCTGAATGCAGTGCTCAGGTATTCTGTTTTATATTGATACAATTTTAATATTTTTTAATGAATTGACATTGTACCCATTTTGGCTTTCTTTTAATATTTGTGAATGTTACATTTGGATGGTTCTAAACTACATCATCTGGCCTGGAGAAGGGGATAATGAAGATGACGATGGATGTCCTGTTGCCATCAAATGCAGAATTGCTGGCTACTTGCGGCAATTTGTTGAGACAGGTATTTCGATTTTGTGCTCTCCTGGTTGTCTGAGGATCTGCAAGTTCGTTATGGAACATGTTGAAAGCCATATCACAACTGTATTCTTATGCAACATTTTCCATCTGCGCTTCAGGAGAACATTAGTTAAAAATCACTTGTTTTTTATAAAAACAATTTATTAACTTTTTTCTTGCAACACATGTGCCAAACTGCTCTATTGTTTAACTGTGAAAAGGGTTAAAAGCAAGACTCATGTCCACATTGCTTGTGACGCTCAGGCCAGCACCTTGCGTAATGGCTATTAGTGAGTGCATGTGTTATTGGCGAATGAGAGGAAATTGTTAGGTTCTATACAGTCAATTTGCTGTATATACTTCATACTTATTTATATTACTATACTTATACAACATTTAGTAATTACTACATCATTAAAGAGACATTGTAGTGAGTTATGAATTATCAATCCATTTGCAAATGAACAACTTGATATCTCCTAGTACAGTGGTGCTGCATTAGATATTCAGATATCACATGGGAAATGTTTTTATGACTGAGCTTGTCTATATGCTCCTCTGGATGTATATGTAACAGTTGTTCTCCTCTCTTTCTTTGACATCTCCCTTATTCAGTGACTGAAGACAAGCGGAAGCAGTTGGTGAAATTCTAGGTGGGCTGGGAGCTGCCAATGCCGGACATGCAAATGGAGGTGATACAAGGAGACCATCCAACATCTTCTACCTGCTTCCACATCCTGCGTTTGCCTTGTCACTACAGCAGTTATGAACAGCTTCATGACAATTTGGAAAGTTGCATTGCAACTGCTGAATATGGGTTTGGACTCATGTAACCTCCCTGTTGTCCTCTGGGCAAATTTGACCCGTTTATAAATGTTTTGGAGTTCATCCCAACATCATTGAATTGTGGGTGATTTGGCAAATATAGCACATTCATACACAGCTACTGCAGCTTAGATTTACCAAGATAATGCACTGGATCACACTAAGTATATTGTTTCTCGCAGATTGACACACAAGATCACATGCACACACACACTCAAAATTACAAATCTACTACTAAGTAATCCTGTTCCTATAATACCAATGCATAACAGCCCAAGTTGTGTTCTTCAGCAGATCCAGTTTGTGTCAAGATTTGCTATTGTTTCAATAAAGAAATATCATATATAAAATCAGTTTGGTTATTACTGAAGTTACTGCAGTATAAACGCTAACCTCTTAAGAAGCTGCTATTTTCTTTTGTTGCGTCTTTTTGATGTGTCACACACCTAAGACTTAGAAGTCAGAAGCTCCTCAAAGGATGCTGATTGGTCCAGACTCAAATGCATCACTTTCATTTCTTATTAACTTTAACAATTAAAGCTCAATTTAATGCCATTTCATGTCAGGTTACAAAGGGAACTATCAAGTATGGTTATTGTGGAACAAGCTGATATAAGCTAGATAATGTCGAGCAACTACGCTTTAGCTGAGGAATTATCTTTGTAAAAAATATATACTAATATTCCAAAAGTAAAGATTTACACTGTTGCTGAAACTGTCCCATAAAATACACGACACACGAAATGATGCACAAAACACTGATGGTTGAAAGTTGATCAATTATATTGTACAATAGAAGAGAGAACAAACGTACCATATTAATAGTCGAGCTGTGTTTCTCAGAAGACACATGATACTTATTACATATAATATAAAACAATTATTTTTGCAAAAAATAGAGAACTGTGTTTAGTGCTTTGCAAAAAGGGGGCATTGGGTGGTGCTGAGACCAGTGTCCGAAACCCCTGGAATCAAAGGTTACTTTACATATAGCCAATGCTTTGCATGTACTGCATTGCAGCTAAGTAGGTGTCAATACCGAGACTTGTTGACTCCAGGGGGTCCACAGCATCTTTCAGTCCATCAAATTCCACTGGGGTAAGTGGGCTTTCTATTTCAGGAACCTGGATACCTGGATTGGGGACAATGGGTACAAGGCCACTGCTTTCCCAGTCTATTAGTGCAATTTGGAGATCCTGTAAAATAAAATAAAAATAATTCAAATGAAATAACATAAGAAGTCAGACCAAATGAACTTAAGCCTTGAAGGCAAACCCACCTCATCACACTCTTGGGAATGGTGCTGCTGCCCCAAGTGCCACAACTGATTGGGAGAGAGGTTCCCTTCTGTTGAAAGGGGATGGTCATCCCAGCCATCTCTGAATATGTTGAAGTGGGCTTGAATAAGTGGAATGAAGGCATAGTGGCAGCAAAATATGTGCAGTGCATTTGACAGATCTAAATGGCTGTCCTCTTCGAGCTGGTGTAGGACATCATAAAAGCGGCCGGTGACTGCTGTGAATACATCCCGCCACAATGGTTCAATTCTGTTTTGAGGAAAATGATTTGTTAGTCTTGATATAAACCCGTACAATTACAAAGAATTTCACTTGAGGATAAATTGAAAAAAAATGCACACACAGAATATATTAATATACCAAACACGTGTACATCATTTGAAAACACAAATACATGGGAGCAAAATAATTGTGTATCAACTGAAACAAAACCAATAAACATATTTAAATTATTTATTTTGTAGAAAGATGATATTTAAAATGTCCTCATAACTTTCACCTCGACAGATTTTGAGATTTGTCAATGTTTCTCAAACTTTTTCAGACCAAGGACCATTTAACCAATAAAAAAACTCTCTCACGGACCACCTAACTCCCCAAATATCAAAAAACAATAGCCACTCTCCTGGGACTTAGTAACACACACAATACAAATTACTTGTTGTTGCTGCTGAATCACCTGCATCAGGTCAATGTTGGCATCTTGACTGTCGCGTCAGATTTTCATTTAATTTTCTTTTAACTGACCCAGTCTTAAGCCATCAATCCATCTTAATTTTAAATGTGAGATTTTACCAATATACTCACGGACCACTAGGGGTAATGGACCACACATTGAGAAAGACTGATCTAGGTAAATAAATAATTTTAAAATCAATTTGAAATTAAATTAAACTACACACAATTTGTTGGGAACTGAATGAAATTCATATAATGTGGTTATATCTTTATTTAAAGCTGTTTATAGGTTATAAGGTTATACTTTTATAAGTAGTATTAGGGGTGTCACGATTTTGAAATGTGCTCAACTTCACCCCAAAAATATATTTGCATATCAATTAACCACCCATTTGTTACCTCGAGATGGTGATTATTGTTTACTTGAATGCTGATTCTTCATTAATTGAAATCAACAGCTGCTGATGTTACTTTAGTGTTAATGATGTAATTAAAGATTGTGTCTTTTCTTTTTTTAAGTTGTAATATTTCAAAAGTGAGTTCGTAATTACCTCTGATTGTGAACGCTTTTGCCTGCGATGAAGCTACTCCTCCCTGTTCCCCGGACAGAGAACATGAGACGAGCCACATCAACATTCTCCACTCCATGATCAGCCCGGACCCTGAAGGGAAATTGTCAGTGAACAGTAGACAGTGGTTATATGGAGTCGTCTTCATCATAAAAATGTAGTGTACGTACAGATAAACCCTTATGTCAGATAGCTTCTTGAACATTAAAAAGTGACACACATCTCTGCGATTTCCAAGTTTTTACCTCAGTGGAAAACCAAAGATCTGTACTGCTTCATTGAAGAACAGGAGGTTTGTTGATGCCAGATTGTTGTTTGCCACACGTAGATACATGATCTTAGTGAAAGAACGGAAAAAAATAAAGTTAAGAGTACATAACATGATATTCTGTTAAAGGGTGGAGTATTTAGAATGACGGCATTTCTGGTTAGAGACTGAATTGCAACGCTCGCTGCTCCCCCCTC